ATCTTGTAGGCTTACCTTCAAGTATTTCCTTGCATCTTTTCCATCTTTTGAGAGCAGGTTCTTGGGCTTTGACACATATTCACAAGAGTTATTGTCATCATCTTCATCTGCCATATCATCATGTTCTGCTGTGGTCCTGTAGTACACCCCCTGTTGTCTTGCAGCAGCAGCACCCCCTCTCCCACACTGTGCAGTAGAAGCATGCCAACTGGGTTTTGTTACATCAGAACCTTCAAGTGCATCAAGTTGATCACAGTCTTCAAGTTGGTCATCTTGAATACTGCAAACAAGGCTTGTGAGTTCTGTTACAGTACCCCTATTCTTTTTCTCACCATCACTGCAGATGCCTAATGGCTGTACTATTAACGCTTCCTTTTCACTGTGCTGTTTCCTCATGGTTTCTCTTATCTCTGACTCATACTCTGTGTTCCCATGAACCTTCCTTTCCTAGTACTTGTTACCCTTTGTCCAGCCTGGTCTGTGCACAATTCTCTTACATATATAAACCCTAGTTACTGCTTGTATTTTCTCCAACTTGAATCTACTCAGTTCTCTTTCATACTTGAATTCTAGCTCCTTGGGAAGGAGGCTGGCCACTGTCCCATTTGAACCCTGGATCCTGTGGGAGTCTAGGTGATTGCTCCTGAGGGAGGCATTACCCGATAAGGCTTTGTCCTTGATCGACTTTGATCCTTGATTCCTTTCTTGGAATGATGCTCTATCTGAGTTCATAACAAGTTCAGCCAAATCTGACATTTCTGGTGGCTCAGAGGTTCATTATATACTGCTTGATAGTGGCCTAGATAAACTATCATCAGAGTCTGACCCTGAATATCCATGACAGGATTCGTGTGACTGTGTGCCAGAGTGGCTGCAAGATCTTGGCCTCCTGGCATTCCTGCTCCATGGAAGGGGTGACCTAGACTGACTCTCATGCTGCCATTAGCTGTTACTGCAGGATATATGTGAGCCTGTAGGTGCATATATGCACAGTTTTTACTTACCTTCTTCTTACAGTCACTGCAGGCATTTTCCCATTTTTCTCCAAAAAACATTCAAAAAATATTGATTGAAAAGATAGAAATTTCCTCTCATGTTGCCTGTCAAAACATTGAAAAAAATTAATTCATGTGTTAAAGATTTTCTGTGGATGGGTCATGATGCAAAAATTGGCTGTGTTCTTTCAAGGATAATACTGGATTTTCTATCTATTGTCTTTTAAATACCAGCTTACAATAATGTAACATTTTTGTCCAAATATGCTATGTTTTTCAAATGTTTTGTGTATATTTGAGAACACAGATAAGAAATTTAACCTTATTGCAAGCTGCTGTTTGAAAGAAAATAGATGGAAAATCCAGTATTATTTTTGAATGAACATGTCCAATTTTTGCATCATGTCCCATCCACAGAAAATCTTTAACACACAAATTAATTTTTTTCAATGTTGTGACAGGCAACATGAGAGGAAATTTCTATCTTTTCAATCAATGTTTTGTGGATGTTTGTTAGAGAAAAATGGAAAAATACCTGCAGTGAGTGCTTCTTTCATCATTCTCTTGCCAGCCTCTCTCTCTTGGACATGCTTTGTGGTGTCTGTGTGCAATGGGTGGTGGTTTTAGTCTGAGGTAAGTGTTCAAGATCATTCCAATAACACAGAAATCACTTACTGATGTTCTGTATTTCATTCTGGGAATGGCAGGGCTCCATGTGGTGTCCTACTACTTAAGGGTCTTATGTACAATGCATATATGGTAACAACACAACTATATAGGATAAGACTTCTTGCCAGTCCTTAAGTACACAGTCTACAATTTTTCTAGTTTTTGTGGTAGATAATGTGTGAGTTCTTGGGAGGAATATGTTCCAATTATCCTCTTCTTGTTCCTTGATTTTAAAACAACTAGTGGTCTTTGGGGTACTGCATGTGAACTGTCATATCCCACAATCCAGACCCATGTTCCATCATATTCCCATGCCATCCAAGCCTACATCCAGACCACACTTCATATCCAACTCATTCCCAGATCCCCTTCCACTGTGTGCTCCACACCTCAGCAGGATTGACTATGCTCTGGATTTACCCCTGAGCTCCGGACCATCGGATCTCCACTGCTAGCCTGAACCATAACCCCCTGTCCCATCCACCCTATGTACACTCCATCCAGCAAGACATCTGGACTTCACCTCATCTTGGATTCCGGACTCTATCCACCTTCTCATATCCCAGTCCTGTATCCACCTTGTCTTCCAGATCCCCAGATCTCTGGACCTCTGGATATTAACTCTGGACCTATTCTCACCCTCTGTCCGATATCCTGCGCCTATCCCCATTTAGGCATTCTCTGCTTTCCGGTTTTCGGTTACCTCTTCTTCCGTCTTGCTTATTGATCCTTGTACGAGTCTTCATCTCCAAGTTCATTTACTTATGTTCTGTCTTACTTACTAATGTGTTTCCACATGCTCATACATAGCCTTGCTCCTTTGCTTACTGATCCCCTCAGATACTGTTCAGTATAAAACCCCTGTAGATACTCCTGTAGTTCCTTAGTTTGAATATCAACTTAGACTTGCCCAATCCTCTCTCAGATTTTGGTCCTCCTAAGTCTGTCCTACCCATCAGGCCTAGGGATTGACTCCCTAGGCCGGAGCTCCGCCTTTCCGGCACTTACCCTCCTTCCGGACTTAGGTCCAACCCTTGTCTCTCCAACTCTACCTTAGGGTAGTCTACCTCCATTTGTTTCTACATTGGACTTCGTCCGATGTAGCCCCTATTCCTTCCAGACCTCCAGACCTCCTGTCCCTCATACCTCCAGGCATCCTGTCCTTCAGACATTCCATCCTCCTAACCCTCAGACATCCTATCCTCCTGTCCTTTGGACCTCCTGCCCTCTGTACCTTTGGACATCCTGTCCTTCTGTCCTCCATCATCCTGTCCTCCTGTCCTCCTGCCCTCCTGTCCTCCAGTCCTCTGGACCTTCGGACCTCCTATCCTTCCATCCTGTTTCCTGTAGAAGTATTACCTTGCAGTGGGAACTCTCCTGAGTACTTCCTGCATTCCTCTGGAAGTCCTCCGGACTTCGTCGGACCATCATCGGACCTCATACGAAATGAAGGGCACATACTCGGGTAAGGGGCACAGCGTACAAGCTGAGGCCAAGCCCCTCTGAGTCAGTCTCTCTCTCCCTTGAGCAACATGGTTCTTAACATGAACTTTGAATGTGTAGCACTTTGTGTGCTTGTGAATTGTGTCTCCCTTCCTGAAAAAGAGAGAAGAAAGTAGTGTAGATGAAGCTTAGCTTAGTCAGCTGTACTGTTAGTTATATAGTCAACCCCTGTAAGGTAGGATATAACCTGAATAGATGTTTCTTAGTCTTACTTCTAGGCTACCAAATGGCCTGCACTTAAATCTTAATTGTTCTCACATGGTTTGAGATAAAGAGTGAAAGTGAGAAGTCTATTTTCATAGGTATAAAATGAGCTCCTTATATACCCTTTTGGAGACCATCTTACTAAGCATGATTCTTCACAATGATTGGTAAGAATGTGCTTACAAACTTGTGTTGAGTCAGCTTGTTTACTAAGTAGATACTAAATAAAGTGAAATCTTACAAAGCATGAAGAAAAGTGGCATGAGTCATCACATGGATTGATAATATTGTGCTTACAAACCAAGCCTATGGGTGTGCTAAATCAGCCTTATTACTAAGTGGATTATAAATACAGTTGCAAGTCTTACAAAGCATGATGAATCATGACCAAACATGATGAGTCAAGTTGAATCCTTACAAATCAGAGGGTTTCCCAGTCACATGACATGCTTACAAACATGCCTGGTGGCTCATGAGAAAGTCTGGTAGCTGAATATGCTTAAGTAAAAGTAGAAAGAGAAAGAATTCATAGAAATACATGGAAAGACAATGTCATATGCCATTCTGGACTCTCAACTCTAAATCTGCTTCTCTGGATATCTGGATCTCAAATGATCTGATCTATCTTTAGCTTCCTTCTAGAATCCAAACCCTATATCAGCGCCCAACCCCATTTAGACTGCCCCTGTCTCCAGACTCTGGTTAACCATGTTTCCCTTCTGATTATTGATCCATTACATACATTTCATTTCCAGTGTTCATTATTTGTGATCTGTCCTACTTACTAATAGACTTTGCATATGCTTCATACATAGCCTTTATGTTTGCTGATTGATCCCTATATGATACCTACAGTATATAAACCTCCTGTAACTCTCAGAAATACTCCAGTTCAAATATCATCTTAGTTCCTGCTCATTCCTGTGTTCTCCAGACTCAAGACAAGTCTCTTGTCATATTCCAAGTCTTAGGATTGCATCCTAGACTACATTTCCAATTCTACCCTAAGGTAGTCTATCCTCTGTTAGTTTCTAGTCCAGACTTTGTCCGGATTAGTCTTATCTACTTGCCCAAGTAACATCTGGACATCCATTGGGTTTATCTCACATTTCAGATCTGGACATCTGTTGTCTGCCCTAGTCAAATCCTGGAAACTCTGGATGACTGTTCTAGCCCCTGGAAATTAAGGGCACATACTCGGGAAAGGGGCACAGCATATGAGCTGAGGCCAAGCCCTTGTGATCCAACCCCCTTAAGCACACAAACTTAACAGACAATAGGGGTGAAATCTGAAAGTAAAATAAATACTAGCTAAAGAATAAGGGAGAAATGATAGGGTAACTTGGTGATAGGGATCAGTCTGGTGTGTTATACCTTCCCTATTACTCCTATTATATATATGTCATGGTATGAATCATATACCATGCATGACAGTGGATAGAGGACCCTTTGTGCTTCTTCTTGTTATCTGGAGACTTGATACCTGCAAATATTTAAATATGGTATATTGAGAGGATGAGACACAAAGAGAGAGTAAATCAGTACATACCAGAATCAAACTGAGAGCATTTGGACGAACTCAAGGCCTGGGATTGTGCAAGAGACAAATGAACAGACCCAGAGAGTAAGCTACCATGACCATGACAAGACTTTGGCTTGGAGAGCAGCATGGGGAACCAACACTTGTTTAGCATGCACTGCATATAGAGGATTAGGTTCTCATTGTTGCAGAGAGGTAGGATCAATGATAAGCATGACAACATACAACTGTGTTGCTTTCCTTCATAGGCCTTGAATTCAGCAGTGAGCTCCCAATCTATAACAAGCTGCATATTGTTCTCTGGAAATTGAGTGTTGTCCTTTGATGGCCTATCATTGAGAGGACTGGTAAGTGGACTGGCTGCACCAAGATTGATCTGATTGATGGCATCTGGTAGCTCCACATCCACATCTACAGTCAACTTTGGATGGGACATCTCGATAGGCTTGATGGATGGAGGTATGTTGGACATGTGTGCATCAATGATATCTTTGGGTGTGTGAGTCAGGAATCAGTGCATCTAGGGTCAACTGTAGATGGGCAACACTTACCTGTTTGAACAGTCATTTTTGATATTTGAGAGGCAAGGAAAAACAAGGTGTGTTATATTGACAGTCAGTACCACATCTATAGTCAACACTAGATGTGTGACATTCACCTTTAGCATTTGTATTGAACAAGTCTATGAAAATAAATGTCAGTCCACATGTACAGTTGACACTAGATGTGTAGTAAGTACTCACCTTTTGGATCATCCACAGGCCTGACTTCTGTATCATCAATAGACAGTCTTTCTGAAAGATTGACATGTCATTAGATAGGTGCATCTAGCATCGATTCTAAATGTGGCTACTTACCAACATATGTTTTTTTTGTGGGTGACAGGTTTGGGTTGGGGTTTAGACTTGGACTTTGCAGGCTCTGGCACCTGCTCTGTCTGGTTCATGTCCATATGGTCTTCATCTTCCTTGACATGATCTGAGTCATGTGGAACATTACCATCTGCCTCTTCATCTTTATCTTCAGCAACCTGAACATCAACCCTGCCATTGTCATCATCATCATTATCATCATCATCATCATCAGTATCCCCAACTACTTTTTTCTGCTTCAAAGACTTATGCCATCTGTGTGCTTCCTCTTGTTCCTTGTCATCTTTGCTTTCCTTATCCAATACCAGCAATTCATCAATGATGTCCTGAATATGTTATGTCTGATAGGAGTATCAGTAGAGGTGAGCTTGGATGGACACCCTTCACAGAAGTTTTCCTTGTCTGTGTGACTTTCTTTGATGAACTTGGCCACAGTGGACTTGGATACTCCAGTTCTAGAGGAAATTTGACAAGCAGAGAGGCCAGAATAGGAAAGAGAAAGGATATTATCCCTTTGAGCAGGGGGAGTGGCTTTCATGGTGAATATAACCATGACATATGGAAATTTTTGGTTTGTATAGTTAGATATGGTTTTAAAATGACATAATGACACCACTTTATAATTTGTTTAATGGTGGCATGATTGTTATGGTGTCATAAATGATGATTTATATAGTTTTAATATGTGCTCAAAAAACTGTCAGCATGAGTCATGATTTTGTAAGCCTTGTATCTCCACCATATCTCCTCTGATTCTCACGATGTGGTGCTCAATCCAAAGCCCTGAAGCAGCACTACAATATGGTATCAGCATGTCACTGAGGTCTTTATGTATTCTCACACAATATTGTAAATAGTAAAAAATGCAAAAACATGTGGACAGTTTTTTGAGCCACTGTAACTCCAGATGCACATGTCAACAACTAATTTCCAGATATTCCTCAACCCACTAGCAAGGTATGTACTTTGATAAACTTGTTCCCAGCATCAGCCACCTCCTGCAACATAGGACTCTTCTTATGCATGGTGTGTACCCTAACACCAATAACTTGATCTGTTTGACCATTTTGAGAATGGCATCTCAGTCCTGTTTCTCTGCTCTGATACAATGATTTGTTTGTAGTTGTTCCTTGAGAATATCTTCATTGGTCAGGTCAGGTTCATTACCCTTATCTGGTTGGGATACACTAACACCATCCCAGTATGTTCATGATGATAGAGTCATGAGCAATCCTGCTGTTGCAGGTTTGAGCTTTGATCATTGCCAGTGTATGTTCATCAACTCTGCGAGTGTATTGTGCAGACTCCACACCATCAGGCCTGCCAACACCCTGGGGCGGTAAACTGACATGATCTCCATCTCCAAGACCAGGCCTTGGATCGATAGCTTTGTATCTCAGGGTACATGCTTTTTTACACTCTTGCATTGCCAGTCCCACCCAGTCACCAACAGTGGCTTCATTCCTGGAGTCTTCAGCAATGATGTGGGTATTATCACAGGTCTGGCACCTATGTGCTTCTTCATCACTGTGTACGGGTGCTCTGTCATATCCTTCATTAACTGTTTTGACTCAGCCCACTTTATATCAATCTTGTCTTTCATTTTCAGCCTCCTCTCCATTACCACTCTCATCTCAGGTGACACCATGTTATTGTGCAGGCAAAGGACTGTATTCATTTGACCATCCCATAACATGCTGTAGAGAATGAAATTCCTCCAAGTGTAGATCATGCATATTTCAACTCATGATGATTGGTACAGTGCATCACTCATTATCTATGACTTCTCCACACTATGCAACACATTCCTGTGCATGCACTTGGTTACCCTTTGTCATGCAGTGTCCTGGAGCATCCATCCATTGTCCAACCAGTTCCCTGGTGAGTCCCTTCTTGTTTATTCTTACTATCAGACTAAATTTAGCATGGTACCCTGTCTTTATCTCACTTACATACATACAATACTCCCTATTCACTTCTGAGCCCTGGGAGCATGTCTAGGCACAGCTTACCTGTTGCCTAGGAAGTTTTTCATACAAGCTACCACCACCATAGTTAGTCTCTAGAGTCAGAATCTATCACCATAAGTTAGTATCCATCAGTTGTCATCCTAGTCCTCAGCAGCAGCCTATCATCATCAGTCTCTACTCAGCAGTCCCAGTTCATATCTTCATGCCATCTTTCAGTTTCTTACACATTTGTGCACCTATGTACTCCATATTCCTGTGGGTGTGCTTTCAGTACACTTCACCAGAATTGACCAGGTGTCACCCAGTGGATCTTTGCTTTCTTTGCTTCCCTTAAGGGTTGAACACATCACTTGGTGTACTTTGACTAACACCTGGAAAGATAGTGGCCTTCCTCTCATCTCAGAGTGAGAGCCTTCTTTCTTTTTTTTGCTCTGCAAGCCAGCAGAGTTATTGAACCTTCAGTGCACCAGACCTTCTCAAGATGTCTTTGTAAGTTGCCCACATTCTCTTTGTGTGATCTTGACTTACTGCTTGAATCATTTGCTCCTTGTAGATCCCTTGCTCAAACCTGATTGTGCTGAACAACACTTTGGTATGGAACCACCACAAGCACTAAATGGTCATTGTGAGTGTCTCATCATTCTGTTTCTGTTGTGGCTGTTGCTTACCTCAGTGTATCCATCCTTTACTGATGATCAATCATTCCAGACACTGTCCGTGACTATGCCTGACATCAAAGGCATTGGGACATACTTGTCTATGATCAGTGTGAGCCACACAGCAGTGCATGTAAGTATCTTGTCAAAGTATGCAATGTCCACCTTTGATCACACCTCTTGCTGGTCATAAGCATCCTGAAGTGCCTCAATGACTTTGTCCTGATAGATAGGCATTGCCTCCAAATAATCCTCTGTCACTGTGTCTACCATACCATTATAGGTGGAAAACAACTGCTTTGCTACCTCATCAATATCCCCCAGGTATGTTATGAATGCTTTCTCATTCCTGGTGTGAAAGACACAACCTGACTGAACACTTGGTAAAAGTACTCAGCCAGTATAATGGTCAATGCTCTGCCTAGCTGCTATACCTGCAAGTAAGAACATTCAACTCAAGGGAATCAATGGACTAGGCTCAAGCTCAAGAGATAAAATGAGTGAGTGAAAAGTGGACACTTCAAGCCAAAGACAGAAAATTATGTTCCAGGAGCTATCTGGTGAGCTGAGAAGCTATAACTAGGAAGTCACAACTAGGAGATGCTACTAAATAACCCAAGTGAATGGGGAGCAACTAAGAACTGGAGACAAGGGAAAAACTGGGTAGTGACTGTAGAGTCCTAGGTAAAGGTTAGATGATTATATAAGCAGTAAAAATGCAAACATAACCTAAGGAAAGTAACAACAAGAGAAGTATAGTAAAAACTACCATTTGCAGGCTAGAGTCAATATGATTGTCACACTGGGCTCACCATCCACGAGCATCTATCAAACCTCACTCAGCTGCTCAGTCACATCCTCAGCTTCATCCTCCTCTCCCACAAATGCCTTGAGCAGGTCACTTTAGGATATGTTGGAAAGTTGATGTTGGATGCAAGGAGTTAATAAGCATGGATGCTGTTCAATGTATAGATGGTATACATCTAGATTCATGCATGTATTTTGTCTTTTGTTAGTTGTGTGAACATGGATACAATTGATACACTTACACCCATGACCATGTTGATCTCCTGAGCTAACCAATGCACCACCAATTCATGCCAGTAGCAAAAGTGTTGGCCCATGGGCAAAATGTCCTTCATCAACATCAGCATCAACCAATGGTTTTTAAAGATCTTCAAGAGTTTTGAGTCAATGCTCTTGTCATTCACTTGTTTGTTGAGTATGACATTCAATACTTTCTCTGCTGCTGCTTCCCCTCCCTCACAGTGTAGATAACATAACTTGGCTAGATAGTTATTAGAATACCTAACCAATATATGTCTACTAATTTTTCCTAGCTGCTACACTTGTGAGTGGGAACGTTTGACCTGAGGGATCTGCTGTCTAGTCAAGTTCAATAATCAGCACTATGCAAAGGGTCAAAAAGTCCAAAGGTCAAAGATCAAGTCTGAAGGTATGGGACAAAGTCCAATGCACAGGAAATCAGGTCCACAGGTGTGAAGATGTGGAGATGGCAGAAGAGTAAGGGAAGGAAAGTAAAAGTGTCAGGACTAGCTTGGAGATGTTAAGGAACATCAAGGGAACAAGTGACAATAATGTTGGGTCAAGGGGAGCAGGTCAACAGGTATATTGGCAAAGAGTAACTCAAAGGACAGGTATGAGTGACTAGCATCAGGGATTTCTCCCTCCTACTCAGTGGTGGTTGTAATTCTGGTTACCCAACCATATATAACTAACTATATGAAAGTCCAGAGTCCATAGGTGAAAGTAGTAGCAAAAATGTGGGTCTGATAATATGTAGGTAACAGGTCATGAGGTACTGTGGCCAGTGGGAATCCATGTAATAACACTGTCTACTCAATCAGTAATGGGAAATAACTGACTATGCACCAGTGGGGTTAAGCAGGACTGGACTGGACATGGTAGGACAAGTGCATGGGATCTCCAAGCAGGTCTGATGTGTTGGAGATGTGGAGATGGCAGGAAAGCATTGGAGATGGGTAGGAGATGGGTGGACTGGATGGGGATTGCAGAATAGGGTCCTAACAGGCTAGCCTGAACATGATTGTCATAACAGTTTGCATTCCCCATATTGCACAATGTTGATACTAATAATTCTTCTTGTGTCTCATTATAGACATGGAGCACTTGGTTGCAACTCAGGTGATGCCTGAGCTCACAATTATTGCTGTTGATAATATCTAGGTGTGTTATTTGTTCTCATCAGTATGCTGTTTAATTGATGCCAATGTCTGCATCTAGAGTTGACTCTAGATATGCTGATCGCTCACCATTATCATACAGTGCGACACCCCAAACACCTATCATGAGCAGCTGGCCTTTAATCTCAGTGAGCACTTGTCTGAGTTTGATGTGCTCATTAATGTCTTCATTGCTTGTTGTCTTTGACTCCTGCAGCCATGTAAGCCAATTCTGAATCATAGTCTTGTCTTTTCAGTACATCTCCTCCATCTTTTTCAATGTAAGCAAACCTGTATTGACCAGACAGTATAATAATTGGATCCTTGTTCATGAACTTCACCTTCATTAAGCTCGCCTCTTCACTCCAGCTGCTGTTTAGCTGCTGGTTTGGCATGATACATGATGTGTCAATGACAATTGTGAGCATGTTGACTTCTTTACATGACTGTATCCCATTCTTCTCAAATGAGGTCAGCATCTTATTGACTTCAGTGGATTTCTGCAGACAATCATCCCAAATAATGGCTTATTTTCGATTTCAAGAAGGTTGATTTTGCCTAATGCCAATCTTCACTTTTTCTAGCACAGCATCTAGCTTCTTTATCCTGGTGGCCTGTTTGTCACTATAGATCTTGGCCTGCACTGGATGCAAATCCAACTTCAATGAGTTATTGCTCTTCTCCATCCATGTAAGTTTCATATGCACTCAGATCATTGTATCTTACTTACTGTACCTGCCTCTTTCTTTTTCCTTTAGATTTTCATAGGGCCATGAGCTTATCATTGAGTGAGTGTCAGAAAGATCAGTATGGTATGTGTGCCACCCTCACTCTTATCAATCTTTAATATTAAATACCACAGGATATAGGTAGAAGGATATATCTAAATGGACTATAGCCCTAAAAGTCTGATACATCTTTAAGTCTAGTTATCCACCTAGCTGGGATATATCCATTCTCACCAGATATCACAGCTGCATTTTTCGCATTTTTTGCATTTTTGAAACTCAGCTATTTTTCAAATGTCAGGACATATTCCAGATTTGGTATTCCTATGTTATGACCGCAAATTTTGGCTTCCTATACAACTGATGATATATGAGCTGGGTGGGCCATGTGGGCAAGGGTGAAATACTGAAAAGCATCAAAAACATCAAAAATGCGGTTTTCTATTCTTTTGTTCCTGGAGAAGGATCCTGCATGTATCACAGGCTAGCTGTATGATAGATATACTCTAAATATACATAGGAATAGGCCCCTCACCCTCCTTGAGGTCTGGTCCTGCAGGAAAAATTTTCACAGGAGGTAAACTACCAGAAGAGGGGGTACACTGTGCAACATGGCATTCTCCTATGGTCCTGGGCTCCTTATACATTGTTCCCATTGTTAAATAGATGCTGGCAATCATTTTTATGAGTCTGTCCACCTAGAAATAATCAAATGAGAACATATTTTGTGATTTACTGCATATATACCATATCTATTGATGTAGGATGCTTCAGCAGGTCAAATAAGGATGGGAATCCCTTCTTATATACTCATAAACATGTTCTGAATGCCCTGGGACACTTCCCTATCAAAGGGGCAAAAATGCGAAAGTGTTCTGTACCCTACCCTATTTTGAAAGGGGCCTGGAGGAAGAGTTGGCACACAAATAAACAAAAAGCGGTCTATTGTATTATGTCATGGATATATATACTAAACTACTACTCATATATGAACAGGGACCTATTGTAGTGTGCTGGTGAAGCTGCAGTGAGGTAGGGAGGGTGTGAGAATAATTATAATTGTGGGATATACCAAATTGGGTGATGTTTGAGGTGTTATGGGGTAATTCCCACACTATGTGGCTGAAAAATGCGGAGGTGTGAGGTGTGGGGATAATGTGGGGAGGCCTGACATGAGGGGGTGACCAAAATGAGTGAATTTCCGCTTTTGGAAGCCAAAACTGCGGTCATCACATGACCAAGCCATACACCATAGGTCTGCTACTTAGCATGTTCTAATGCATCAAAAATCAGGCTAAGAAGCATAGATGATGCATCACCTGTGACTTGTAGTTAGCAGACTTGATGTATCATAGCTACAGGGGCTGGTGGCTTCACCACCACACCACAATAGCTCCCCCTTCATATATAAGTAGTAGTTTGGCATATATGTATATAATATAATATAATAGACCACTTTTTTGATTATTTGTGTGCCTGCTCCTCATCCAGAGCCCTTCCAACATAGCCTAGAGTACAGAACATTTTCGTACTTTTGTTCCTTTGATGAGAGGATGTTCTATGGTATCCAAGACATATTCAGTAGTGTATATGAATAGATTCCCTCACTTGCTTGACCCCCTAAAGCACCCTACATCAATAGATATAGCCTGTATATAGTAAAACACAAAATATGTTCCCATTTATTTATTTCTGAGTGGATATACTTGTAAAATGTATCCACAACATCTATTCATCAGTAGGAACAATGTATCAGGAGTCCAGGACCATAGGACAAGACCCTGTGATGCAGTATACCCACCCTCTCCTGCTGGTTTACCCCCTGTGAAAAATTTTCCTGTAGGACCAGACCTCAAGGATGGTAGGTGGTCTATTTCTATGTATATTTAGAGTATATCTGTCACATAGCTACCACAGGAAACCTATAGGGTCCTTCAACAGGCACAAAAATATGGAAAATCGCATTTTTGACTTTTTGGATGTTTTTTAGTATCTCACCATTGCACATATGATCCAACCTGCTTATATATCATCAGTTGTGCATATATATGATTTTATGCCAAAGATCAGTTCAAAATAGGCCAGAGGTTTGAGCTAGTGTGCATACTTGCAATTTCTACTGATAAGGGGCTCATTCCTTCAAAATATCAAAATTTATTAATTGGACACCTGGAATGCACTTCGAATGTATTAAGTATCATAGATCTAAAGTTTAAGAAAGATCCATTCAGTATTGAGTGAAAGGGAAGCAAATGAACATATGTGTGAAAAGTGACAATTAACACATTTCACACAAAAGTCACATTTACATATATTGTAGGTCAAATATTTCATTAAATTTAAATAGGATATATGTTAGACTACACAATGGAACCTATACTACACTTTGCTCTGAGGGTGGCAGATATAGGGATGTGATGGTAAAGTAAGTTGATGCAGCATTAAAGTCCCACCACCAACTCAACTGACCATTTTCGATGTTTTGGGTCCTTGAGTTTCCCACACTCAATTTCTTATCTATTTCACTTCCTCAGCACTCAGTTCTTGTTTGATTGTTTAGAAAAATGAGATCTATGATACTTAATACATTTGAAGTGTATTCTAGGTGTCTGGTTAATAAATTTCGATGTTTTGAAGGTATGGACCCCTTATCAGTAAAAATAGCAAGTATGCACACTAGCTCAAATCTCTGGCCTATTTTGAACTGATCTTTGGTATACAAAGCATATATATATGTATAACTGATGACATATGAGCAGGTTGGATCATATGTGCAATGGTGAGATACTAAAAAACATCAAGAACGTCAAAAATGCGATTTTCCATATTTTTGTGCCTGTTGAAGGACCCTATAGGTTTCCTATGGTAGCTAGGTGATAGATATACTTTAAATATGCATAGGAATAGATCCCATACCATCCTTGAGGTCTGGTCCCACAGGAAAATTTTTCACAGGGGGTAAACCAGCAGGAGAGGGTGGGTATACTGCATCACAGGGTCTTGTCCTATGGTCCTGGACTCCTGATACATTGTTCCTGCTGATGAATAGATGTTGTGGATAAAGCTTTCAAGTATATCCACCTAGAAATAAACACATGGGAACATATTTTGTATTTTCATGTATATATGCTACATCTGTTGTTGTAGAGTGCTTCAGGTGGCAAAATACAAATTGGAATCTCTTTATATATAATACTAAACATGTTCTGAATGCCATGGAACACTTCCCTATCAAAGAAGCAAAAATGCGAAAATGTTATACACATATATGCCAAACTACTACTTATATATGAAGGGGAAGCTATTGTGGTGTGGTGGTGAAGCTGCAGTGAGGTGGGGAGGGTGTGGGAATGATTAAAATTGTGGGATATTGTCATATGCCATTCTGGACTCTCAACTCTAAATCTGCTTCTCTGGATATCTGGATCTCAAATGATCTGATCTATCTTTATCTTCCTTCCAGAATCCAAACCCTATATCAGCACCCAACCCCATTTAGACTGCCCCTGTCTCCAGACTCCAGTTAACCATGTTTCCCTTCTGATTATTGATCCATTACATACATTTCATTTCCAGTGTTCATTATTTGTGATCTGTCCTACTTACTAATAGACTTTGCATATGCTTTATACATAGCCTTTATGTTTGCTGATTGATCCCTATATGATACCTACAGTATATAAACCTCCTGTAACTCTTGGAAATATTCCAGTTCAAATATCATCTTAGTTCCTGCTCATTCCTGTGTCCTCCAGACTCGAGACAAGTCTCTTGTCATATTTCAAGTCTTAGGATTGCATCCTAGACTACATTTCTGACTCTACCTTAAGGTAGTCTATCCTCTATTAGTTTCTAGTCCAGACTTCATCCAGATTAGTCTTATCCACTTGCCCAAGTAACATCCAGACGTCTGTCAGATTTATCCCACATTTCAGATCTGGATGTCTGTTGTCCGCCCTAGTCAAATCCCAGAAACTCTGGATGACTGTTCTAGCCCCCGGAAATTAAGGGCATATACTTGGGAAAGGGGCACAGCATATGAGCTGAGGCCAAGCCCTTGTGATCTGACCCCCTTGAGCATGCAAGCTTAACAGATATACCATATTAGGTGATGTTTTGGATGTTGTGGTGTAATTCCTACACTGTGTGGCTGAAAAATGCGAAAGTGTGGAGTGTAGGAATAAAATGTGGGGAAGCCCTGATATAAGGAAGTGACCAAAATAGGATGTGTTTTGTGAATTTCCACTTTTGGAAGCCAAAATTGCGGTCATAACATAGGAATATATCCCCTACCAAATCTGGAATGTGTCCTGACATTTGAAAAATAGCTGAGTTTCAAAAATGCAAAAAATGCGAAAAATGCAGCTGTGATATCTGGTGAGAATGGATATATCCCAGCTGGGTGGATAACTAGACTTAAAGATGTATTGGACTTTTAGGGCTATAGTCCACTTAGGATATATCTATATAACAGTATGGGCTGTAAATACCCTGCTGACTCCTGTCCCTCCTGCCCTGAACTGCCTTATGGCTGATGTACCAAAGCCACTGGTGCATCAATCTTTATTATTCTACTAGTATATATGTTTATCAATACTTAATATTATTGCTTCTGATACATAGCTAATTACTTAATATAGCAATTTCACATATAGATCTTGATATGTGCATCTTCTGCTACATCGAGAACAATTGTAGATGTGGGCATGTTATTCACAATACATAACATGCTATAAAAATGACATGTCATTTTATTTGCTGCATGTAGTGTCAGCTGTAGATGGACACTTTATGTGTTAATTACCATTAATGATTTACCTTGTACTTTAGGTTATTACAATTTCTCTGCATGTAGTGTCAGCCCTAGATGGGTACTTTATTTATCAACTTGTACTTTGGATTACTACATTTTTCACCACATGTAGTGTCAGCCCTAGATGGGTTACTGTATTTATCAACTTGTACTTTAGATTACTATATTTTTCACCACATATAGTGCCAGCTCTAGATGGGTACTTGTTTTTATACCTTGCACATCTAGATTACTGCATATATACATCTTTATTAGTAAAAAACCTCTAGAAAACCTGTTCCTCAACCCAACCTACCTAGAAAAATGCTACATAATGCACAGGCTAGAGGGATGATGACATCAAGATAAATGGACCTGATGAAGTGAGACAATAGTCAGCACACAGATTACTAGTGAAGATGATGCAGGTGACTCACATTCCATTTCTCTTTGCAGGATCCATGGATCCAAGCTGCAAAATATAGATATTTTTGAGGCACAGGTCATGTGGCACATTGTCAAGCTTGATGGAGTCATTGTAGCACTGATGAGGCAAGGAGAGGCAACAGTTATGCATGATGGCACTATGCACATGCTTTGTGCTGCCTCAGACATAGGCTCCAGACAAGGCAGAGGTGATACATCCTTGCTGGACTTCATAAAGGCCAGCATTGGGCCGAATCTGATGTAATATCTTGTTATAGAACTGACAGGCAGATGCAATAATGGCAGGGGGTATTGGTTTTCCATCATTTAGCACCATGTTGATGTCATTATTGTCATCATCCATTCTGTTGGGATGTTGTTGACCACATGTTATATTCATTTGAACCTTTCTGATGAATGTCTTGAAGTGAGGGAGAATAGAATCAGCCTGCAGGTGGCCATACTTGTGCAAGATAACTTAAGGATACACATTGATCTTCGCAGTGTGCTCATTGTCAATGTCAAGAATATCTGTGTCCACATCTAGGTACTCATCATGAGCAACATGCAAAGAGAACAGCTGAGGAATTATTTCCAGGTTAATGAGAATACCACATTTGGGGGCATCCACATGAGTCCTACCCATCAAACAAGGGATGCAGCAACCATCCTCATTATGGACATTGATCTCCTTACAGGTTGCTGCTTTGCAGAGAGGAAGTGTTAGAAGGTCCACAGGCTGCCTGACATCAGGATCCAGAGAGTTGTATATGACATTGTGTATAGCAAGAATATTATTGACAGGAACCTTGACCCAGCCTCTTATGACCTCACAACTGAATCAGATTAAAATTACATAGAGGAAGGGATATCAGCTGTTAATGTCATATTATAAATAAGAGTGAAAGACACACAATATATGGGTGGCAATGGCCATGGACAAGTAACAAATGTGACTGTAATCACATTCAAGGTTCCAGTTTCAAGCCTCCACATGAAGAGCATGTTGGTCAGAACTGGTGATAGGCTAGTTTTGCCTGTAATGACAGGTGACAGATACAGGGATGTGCTGTTAAAGCCACCCATCCTTCAACCAAGATGGGAGTGCATTAGCAATGAAATCATCATATTGAATCTTCATCATCTGTGTTAAGGTTGTGTGCTCAAGGGAGTCAGATCACAAGGGCTTGGCCTCAGCTTGTATGCTGTGCCCCTTTCCTAAGTATGTGCCCTTAATTTCCAGGGGCTAGAATAGTCATCCAGAGTTTCCTGGGATTTGACTAGGGCGGATAACGGACATCTGGATCTGAAACATGAGATAAATCCGACGGACGTCCAGATGTTACTTGGACAAGTGGATAAGGCTAATCTGGACAAAGTCCAGACTAGAAACTAACAGGGGATAGACTACCCTAAGGTAGAGTTGGAGATGTAGTCTAGGATGCAATCCTAAGACTCAGAATATGACAAGAGACTTGGCTCAAGTCTGGAGGACACAGGAATGAGCAGGAACTAAGATGATATTCAAACTGAAGTATTTCCAAGAGTTACAGGAGGTCTATATACTGTAGGTATCATATAGGAATCAGTCAGCAAACACAAAGGCTATGTATGAAGCATATGCAAAGTCTATTAGTAAGTAGGACAGATCACAAATAATGAACACTGGAAATGAAATGTATGTAATGGATCAATAATCAGAAGGGAAACATGGTTAACTGGAGTCTGGAGACAGGGGAAGTCTAAATGGGGTTGGGCACTGATATAGAGTTTGGATTCTGGAAGGAAGATAAAGATAGATCAGATCATTTGAGATCCAGATGTCCAGAGAAGTGGATTTAGAGTTGAGGGTCCAGAATGGCATATGACAATCTAGATGAGCAGCAAGACATCCTGCAAGCACAAGGTGATCATATGCTGGTCACTGATCAAGACAAACACATTGAAAAAATGAGACATTAGCAGCAGTGATCATAATAATCAGAAGTGCAGGACAATAAATAACAATGCCCATTCAGAGCTGGATCTGGTTGGGTCAGACCTATGAGAGATACTGATATTCTCCCATCCAGGTATGGCTCTGGACATGGGGAGCAAGAGAAAAAAACATGGTGGAACATATGTACAGTACATTAGTGTTACAAACTAGGATAGTTCTAACAACAGACAACTCAATAAGAATCAGGACCTCTGTTGAGATTCTACATAAGGTGATAAGCCAAATGTTCAAGGTAAGCTAAGACAGAGGGAGTGCCTCTGACTTAAAGTACAGTTCAGACGACTTAGGATTGGTAGTCCTAAGTGAAGGAAGTTCCAGGTAAAACCCAGTAAGATTAAAGTAAAGAACTATACAGGATAGAGTCACATATTTATAGGGAATAACTATGAAGGGTTTAGGGCAGGTGTGAGTAAGTAAGAATATGAGCATATGCCTAATATGGATGAAGTGATGAAGTCAGAGATACAAGAAAGGAAATGAACACATAGACAGACACATAGACAGCATCTAATGGTGGCAGTAGTGGCACATGATGTAATATAGTAAGTGTAAGCATGAGTCAGATGGAAGTAATAGAGATGAGAGAAGAAAAAGTACAGCAGGGCAGGGTGTATTGTAACAATTAGTCACATCTTCAATCTTCCACTCATGGAAGTCCGAGTGAGGTCCATATGAATATATGATGTGGATGGGCATTGAAGGAATCTGACTGAGAAGGGCAGCAAGGAACATGAGGCCCATGTGATAATGCATGGACATCAAATGAGTATTGCCATGCTTCTCACTGAGAAAAGGACTCTTATTGGCAAGGTCAATATCTTCAATGTTGCTGATAGGACAGAAGCCCAGCCACAACTCAGTCAACTGACTCTCTCCAATAGCCATCATTGAACCTGTGAGATTGAATCTGAGTTTGCCAAACTCTGGACAAAACTGACAAGACTGAAGATGTAGATTCAGGGTAAGGGTGTAATTGTGATCAGCAAGGGTATTTGGGAGAAATGTGTTAGTGCTTAGAGCCTTTCCACAAAAGCTTGGGATCATCACTGTACAACTTAAGGTTGGGGTCGAGAATTACATTAACACAAAAAATGAAGGAGCTTGATAGCAGAGGCACAGTCCTTAAGATGAAACATCCTCTCAAGGCTGGAGAGGTTGAGCATAGTAAGTGGTGTTTGCTCCTAGGTGGGACCATTGCCAGGAGTACCTTCCTGGTGCAAGAACAACCCATCAAATATGGCATCTTGAGGAACAGCTTTATCATCATTGACCTCCTGCACAACAGGGATGTCATCAAGATCAAATGGACAGGGAGCTGCAGTATAAATATCAATATCATCATCCAAATCAAAGTCTTCATTGGACCTGACAACAAAAAAGTCAGAAAGTACATTGACGAGAACAGAAACAGGGAAGGCTCACATATAAGCAAGGTCAGAGTTAGGGTCCATCATGAAATGAGTGGGGGTGTATGAATGAAACAATGAGGTATGAGGACACCTGCAATAAAATCAGATATAAAAGCTATGTTTGTGTCAGGGTCAGCACAAATATATATGAACAAGTGACTTCAGACTCAGATGATCAATTTAACTTTACAAAGGAAGACAGGACAGACGATGAATGAATGAATGGTCCAGAACTTGGGTCAAATAGCTCACACAATGATGATGTCAGAATGCTAACTCTAAATGATATATGAATAGACTCAATCTATTGTCTGCTGAGCATGGTCATGATGGGAAAAGAAGATAACAGAATATAGTCACAGGAAGGACATACCACTCACTGGACTTGTCTGTCTGGGAGCATAAGAGTAGAGTGTAGGGAAACCAGCCATTCAGAACAGGCAAATAGAAGCATGCCTTGAATTTATAGTTAGAGTTTGCAAAGACAAATGAGCCAGACCTTGGGATCTGAAAATGAAGAGCAACCGGAAGCAAGATATAATTGAAATCGTTAATGTAGACAGTGCAGAATACAGAATAGGGAACAATGATATGAAGAGCATTGAAAGACAAGGTAGAGAAAATGAAACATCAGAAATTCAAAGAAAGAATGCTGGCTGTACAAACCTTTGGGATGGTAACCACAAAGAAAAATGCAGTTTCTGATGATATGAAATAGGTCTGGGCTGACTTGGTGCAGTATAAGCATCCACTGTCAGTGCACAACACATGTGTTGAAATACAGCTGGTCACCAGATGGTTCAGTATGTCTTAAGTCAATCACCTGGGCTCCAATTGTTCAAGTCAGGTGGACAATTGACAGCCCATGAGTGAATAGCATAGCATTGTAGACAAATTTCTGAGTATAACTCCTGTAATATGATATGATCACAAAACAGATGAGACAGTAAAGATGAAAATGTGTAGTTGAACTTGGATAGCAAAGAACAGCACACAGTTGAATGTGTGGGACAAGAAGGGAGAACAGCTCAAATGTAAAGAACAATGATATAACAACAAAGGAAAAGTCAACAAGAGTGAATGAAAACAAGCAAGAGTATGAGATTTAGAAGTCAGGAAGGGTGTCAATGACATCAGTGGATGATTCAGCTCAAACATTGGAGCATTTGCATTTCTTCTTGTCGTCCAGTAAAGGGAGGACTGCAAGTACATACATACATTGAATGAATAATAAGGGATATCAGACAAGGTAAACACAGAGCAAAAGGATATAGACCATTCAAAGCATGATTGTGAGAACACTTAAAGGAGGAAGAGGCCTCTGATGGAGCAACAGACAACCTAACAATACAAAAGGGTGTAGCACCCCAACCACAAGCAGACTTGGAAGGATCACAAGAAGATGTTGGAGTAGCACAGGGAGTGGGCACATGTTTGGGACACACTGACATCCAGGGAGTTAGGTTCTACTTTCATCACAAAGGTGGATGAAGAAAGACTTACCACTACAATGCTGGCTTTCATAGGTATCAAGTTTGGCAGGTAGCTGGGCATCTGTCATGATCTGTGTAGCATTGTCAGTGTCCTCAGTGTGATCTTGAGTGCATGATGTCTGTTTGTTGACAATGCTGGAGAGTGGGCTAGGTGTATCAAGATTGATGTTGTCAATACCTTTGTTTAAGTTATGCACCACATCCAGGACCAACACTGGATGAGGTGGGCCAGAGAAATCCAGACAAGGAAGCACATCTAGCATCTCATGGTCACCATCATTGTCTGTGAAGGGTTAGGGCACATCTGGTGTTAACTTTGTATGAGCACTTACCTTGCTGTTGTGTGAGTTGTTCTGTGGGGTTGTAGTCAACAGTGAAAGGGTCATGCATGTATCAGCCTCAGGCAGGGTCAGAACTGGATATGCAACACATACTTTTGCCAGGTGGAGTGAACAGGTCTGGATGATCACAAAAGATGCACATGTTAGTTATCTACTAAAGGTTCAACTACTCTACTAGCTTGCAGAGCAGAAGAAAGAAAGAAGGCTCTCACTCTGGGGTGAGAGAAAAGCCTCTAACTCTCTAAATGTTAGTCAAAGTGTGCCAAGCAGTGTGTTTGACCCTTAGGAGAAGCAAGGAAAACAAATATCCACAAAGTGATGCTAAGTCAACTCTGGTAAAGCACGCACAGGAATGTTGAGCACATAGGAGTGCAAAGCATGGGAATAAGGCACATGTGGTGTGTGGACATATATAAACTGGTAGAGGGTATGAAGACATGAACTGAGGCTGCTGAGTGATGACTAATGATAATGGACTTGCTGCTGAGGGCTAGGGCAACGACTAATGCATACTGACTGAAGATGATAGATTCTGACTCTAGATGACTACTGACCTGATAGTGGTTCTATGAAAATTTCCTAGGCAATAGGTCAGCTGTGCCTAGGTGCACTCCCAGGGCTCAGAAGCAAATAGGAAGCACTGAGTGTATGTAAATGATGTAAATAAGGGTCTATGATGAAATAAAATATCATACAATACCAGACATGGTCTGACAGTGAGAAATAAATGAAAAGGACTCACTAGGGAACTGGTTGGACAATGGATGGAGGCTTCAGGATGCTGTGCAACAAAGTATGACCAAGTGTGGGAAGAGTGTGCTAAGCACATATGTGATGTCATAGTGGGAAAGCATTGCACCTCTTGTATATTTCATAGGATAGTCAGAGAGTGAGTTATACACTAGACTAATTGTCATGAGTTGAAATATGTGCAATCTACACCTGGAGAAATCTCATTCTCTACACCACATCTAGATTAGAGTGTATATGCACTGAACATGTACATGCAGGATCATCACAAGGTGGGACTGAAATAGGAATTTATAGGTAAGCCTCATACAGTGTCATATCTGGATGCACAAGGTACTAACCAGGATTGCATGTCTTGCATGCTATAGGTTTGGGGTGAGGTTTGGGGCAGACAGGTTCATTAATGGTATCCTCTGCACCCTGTATGTTGATGTCCTCATTTGATGCATCCAACCCTGTCATCAAGGTCAGTATATTTTACATTGTTTAGTAGGTGTGACACTTGCCTTTGCCTTTGTTTTCCAAAACATCAACTGTTTGCTTTGGCAACTCAGGATGATTGGGTGGCTTGCCTTTACCCTTGCCTGGTGTATACTGTTCCTTGACCTTAGATGTTGATTTCACTCAAGGTTTAGACATTGCAGGATGCAGGGGAGGGTCATTGTCCTCAGTCTGCTCTTCATCATCATCATCATCCTGTTGACCCTCTTCCTCATCTCCATCCATGTCTTGGCCACTCTGTCCATCAGCTTCATCTATGTCTATGTCAACTGTACACATCCTTCTCACCTTTAATTCTAGGGAGACTGAGGTCAGTTGCATGGATGCAGGGATTGAATTGATAGGTGTCTATCCCTGTTGACTGTCAAAGATGTATGTGAGACATGATGAATGCAAGTGTCTGTTAAGTGCAGAGTGAGCAACCACTTAGCCTCCAAAAACACAGATTAGAGTCATTGTCTCCCCTGCATCAAGATACTACTCTCAATGCACAGTGACTGATGGGGTTAAACCCTGATTGATGCCAGTGCATCCAGACATGACTCCAGATGCAGCAGATACCTGCAGAGATACTAACCCATCCCATCCAGTGCTGCCTCTAGATGGGCTAGAGTTAAATGTATGCACCTGCCCAAGTTTGTTCAGCATGTCAGCTACTTCCATCACAATAGGGCTGTTCTTGTGGGGTGAGATGCATGACATTGGCATGGCAGCAATTTGGTTCATCAACTTGATGATGGTGTCCCAATCCACTGTTTCAGCTGCCAGTCAGCAATTTGTCTCAAACTGCTCCTTCCACATATCTTTGTCCATCATCAGCTCCACATTGACTAATGGCTTTGGCACTTTGATCCCATCCCAATAGGTCCACCATTGCAGGAAAGCCAGTGCTCCTGCAGTCACAGGGTTCAGTTTGCTCTGAGGCAGATACTGATTCATGTCTTTTTCCAGCTGCAATCACAGATTCCACACCATTGAATCTTACAGCACTTTGCATCAGTACTTGGCTGCAAAGTTCATTTCCAGGATGATGCCTTCAGTCACCAGTATGGCCTTTTGCACTGCATTCTTCTTCATAGATGGTCTTTACCAGTCCTATCCTGTCACTATCACCGCTGGCATGTCATATATCACCATTGTTGATGGCTGCATATTCTTCACTCCTCTGCCTATGTGCAAGTTGATGGTATTGAACAGTGCTGTTGCCTTAGTGTCCATTAACTTGGATGCTTTGCCCCATTGCACTTGCCAGGCTGCTTTGGTCATGGGCCTTTTGACCATCTTGCTCTTCACCTCTGGGGTCAACATGTTGTTATGCAGTTGCAGCATCATATTTGATTATTCTTCCCACAATGTGGTCCATATCTGCTGAACACTCATTGGTGAGTGCATCATCTTTTGCCTTCCTCGTCTCAACTCACTGCTTGAACAGTGCACTCCTTAGTATGCACTCCTTGTGCATGCTCAACCACATGAAACAATGCTGCTGTAGCACTGTTGATGGCATGTATGTTGGGGAGATATGTCTTCATGATATCCATAAGTAGCTCAAACCACTGAGTACCCAACTTTGCTCCATTGGAGCCCATGTTTTTCAAATGAACTTAACATCTTGTTCACCTCCATTGACTTCTGGGGTCAGTTATTATAGGTGCTAAACATTATCTAATTTTTCATCTGCAGTAGGTCAATTTTACCAATACCAATCTCAGCTGTTTCAAGTGCCTTGTCTAAATGCTGGATTTTGGCAGCTTGGTCATTCTTATTCTGTTTGGCTTTGACAGGATGCATATCCAATTTGAATGCATTCCTACCTGTTATTAACTTTGTAAGTTGTTGGATTGCTTTAATAAAATCATTGCTTCTCTCCCCTTCAGTATATGTCACTCACCGGTGATTCTGTGACATTCTTTTTTGCCTTTCCTTTGCATGGCAGCATTGTGTTATTATCAGAATGTTGTGTGATCAGTAGATTCAGAGTATTATTAGCCCTTGGTCTTATTGATCATCTTAAATCATTGCTTACTCATTATTTTCCCTCCTGCCCTGAACTGCCTTGTGTTTGATGCACACATGTCTTTAATTCTTGCCAAAAAGTATATACTTGTTGTATCAAATACTCTAACCTGGTGCATGATATATATAGACAGCTGATAATAGACATCTCAAATATACATATCAAATAATAATAATAATAATCAATCTACAAATAATATACACACACTTACATTGACCTCATCCAGTTCTGGGACTGGATGAGGTAGATGAGATGTATGTGTATGTGTATGTATTATGATTGTGCATCCAGTACCAGTACTGCATGAGGTAGATGAGATGTATGTGTATATATGGTTGGCACATCCAGACCTGGGTCTACATGGGGTACTGTTTATGATAGGTCACACATCCAGTATTGTACATATTTCTGTCTACTTTTTGAAAACCTGTATATAACCTGTTCCTAAACCCAACTTAATACTTACAAAAATCATGTATAATTATCATTGGCCCTTGTTATTTCAGTGTTGTAAGATATTTACATATAAGGTCTGACAATACACCAATGATGTTGCATTGCATGCAAAGATCAATGTACTTGACTGTGCTGTGCAACTGAAATAACATCTGGTCTCAGTGCACAATGGAGTCCAAGAGATACAGTAACAGTAAGCATTGTATCTAGTTATGTGCATGATGTAATGTATCTACTAGTCTGCAAGGCATCCATTCAGATGCTTCAATGTGTGCTCCAATTCCATACAGGCTTCCTCAGCCCTGCAGTGCATGTCTTGCATTTCAGCCAGATGCCACTCAATGTACTTCAACTTTGCCTCCAGTCTCACCCATTCTTTCTCACCCAGAGGCTTGTTGACCCAACCAGATAGCTGCTCATCCAAAGTGACAACTTTGTCAGAGGAGTCAGAATATTGAGACTCTGAGTCAGATCTGTCATCAGAGTATGGATCTTTGGCCTCTTTCTCAACAACTGAGCCATGTGTTTGTGAATGTAGAATCAGAACATAAGGAAACAAGAACTTATCATTGCTATACCTGTTCTGGCAGGCTATGCATGCTTTGCCCACCATGGATTGACATCTTGAGTTCCTGCTTGTGCAGTATTTGCAGCCCTGACATCTTATGTCAACTGCCCTCATGATAGCACAGATACATGGCCTAGGGCCTGCAATTACAATGTGTGATTGATGTTAGAGGATGGGGTGTCAGAGGTGCAGCAATTACTTACCTGGCAACAATGAACACCACTTACAGCATCTCTTACATGGTAATTCAGGGACAGTCACATAGCATGGTTTGTTCTCAGCCATGCATGATTCACACCTGGGAGCTCTCAGCATGAAGGAAGCAACTTGACTTATAGATGAGCACTAGGAAGAGATGAGTTTAAATGTTGAGTGATGGAGGTGGGAAATGAAAAGATAGACCTTGAACATTCAAATAGTGCCAGAAAATACTAAATGTCCACTCAGTGGTTATTCCTGAATAGGTGGATTGTGAGCAGTCAGCCACAGATGCTCAGGAGCCACAATCACTGTGGGAATGAGTTTTTATCACTATAGGGTTGAAGTAGAAGTAGTGAAGATAAATACACAATACCCACATAATTGTGAATGTGAGAATACTCAGTGCCCAGAGTAGAAAAAGGTGACTGTTTGACCCACAATCCAGGGGTGGGCTAAGCAACATGTTCAAGGAGGGATGACTTCCCCAGCACCTAACCCAATATGATAATTACATCTGAACACTAGTCATTTGAACCTGCTTTTGATCTGAATATTAGAGCAAGCTCAGTCTGACCTGCTCTGATTGATTATTAGGAAAATGAAAGTCTGAATAAGGTAGAGATACAATGTCTATGATGCTTCTATAGATTCATGCTCCTCATGGTGCACTATCCTGGGTAGTAATTGATTGCTCCCTGGCCCTCACTTCCTTTCCTCTCCTCCTTCCTAGTGCCAATATTTGCAACTAGTCAATATTGCCCCAGCGGTGCAGTAGCAAATGCAGTTTAAAGTACTGGAGCAATGCATCAGCATAGTCAATAGCAGATGACTGAACCTTACCATGCCCCACTGCCAGTTGCTATTATTTACTTACTAGAGACCATGGGCTGCCACAGTGTTGTGAGTGTTTTTTGAATGGTCTACAATGGGAAGCATCAAAGGACATGAGCAATACATGTTGATCTATGAAGAATCAACATATCACTATCCTTATGCAGCCTGTAGACCAGTAAATCAGAACCTTTCCAGAATGTCATAATAATTAACTGGGATGCCTTCCAATCCTGCACCAGTCATCAGACCTATGTGCACAGAGGCAGTATATGTATGGAAGTGTGAACAAAAACACCAGCACTAATGATGAGATTGGGAGCTATACCCAACCACTCACCAAACTAAAGTTCTCAGCAAGGGGAAACACCTTACACTTGCTGTAGCTTGGCAAGAAGATAAATTTTTTAATCAAAAGCCTGTCTCAACACTTCCAAAGTATTCAGTGTAGCCTCTTCCCAAGTCAGGTTTGCTTAGCCTTTCTTGTTTCAAACTCTTTTCCATAAACAGGGTTTTCTCCAGACACTCCTCCTTTATATGATTGAGCCATGTATGAACTTGTGTATGGGTTTCATGGGAGATCACTGATGGTGGTACCTCAGGAATTGTTTTCCATGTCAGTTTTTTCTACTAATGCCTGTTAGAACATATTTTTGCTATACTAACTGAAGTCAGCTTTGTTGATTCTTGGACATGTGTGGATGCAGTGATCCTTGTCTTATGAATTCATTGGGATCTTGCCATGGTATTTCACCTCAGGTAGTAGGGCAGGAGGCTCTGTCTCTCTCTTAAGAAGACTATGAATGCATGAGGTGTTTGTTCAGAAAATAACAGTGAATGTCTTATATTGGACTACAGCATCATCAATGATAAACCACACCCTCAAGCTCCATCCTCAAGCATTACAACATGACTCAAGAGAACATGGAGAAACTCATCATTTCTCATCTGACTTATCTCAAGCACTTCCACACATGTGTGAATTAGTTCAATAAAACTCCTCCACCTCCATGCCATGTTATCAAGCTTGTGTTTATACCAGAGGTCTTGTTTTGCAAGGGACTCCTGCATATTCTGGACACCCTCCTCCAGTTATCTCTGCTTCAACAAGGATTCCATGATTAACCTCTTCATCTCCTGGAGCATGTTAATTATCTTCGGCCTTCCCTCCTCTAGTCATGTAACATGTGTGATGAGTAGTACTGCTTTTTGACCCTGCTTGCCTGTCACATGAGTTGCAGTGAGAGAAACAGTGATAGTTGACATGACTATAGTCGATGAAGCAGTGTGTATGGAGAGCACTTGGTAATACTGTGCAGGAAAGAGTAAGGGGTGAAGACAAAAACACAACAATTTATATTGTAGGCACATGCTGAGTCATGGTATTGTGTTGGAACTTCATTGTTTCATTGTGCCATTATACATGCACATTTATTCATTCTCTACTGCAGCTTGCACACTGTGTCATTTGGCAGAAAACTGTTGAAAGTTTGTCAATTGAAGGCTGGTGAGTTGTGTGGAGAGCATCCATTTCTGCTTGCTATCCTTGCAATGTGTCATCACAACAGTTCTGCTACAAGGGGGCAGAAGAAACCATCAAAGGGTAAGGGTAGTTAGATTACAAAGAAAAGAAAGAGAAGGAGCTGAGAGGGTATAGGGTGATATGGGGGTGGGGGCTAGTAATGAGGTGTTATTTATAACGAATGGCCTACTAGAATTTGGTGTAAGTCACAACACTGCTAATTGAACATCCCAACCAAAAACATAACCAGTGAGAAAGTTGTCACCACAGGGCACTCAACATTTGTCATTAATGGGAGAATCATGAATCCTTGGATATTTAGGTTGGAAGCTCAAACACTCAACATTAAATCATCAGTGCAACAAAGACATGGAAGCTACAACACACTATTTCCTTTTGGCCTGCCATTAATATCACCAAGCTATCAAGTGTGAGAAGCAAAGGCACTTCTGGTTGATGTACAGTGGCTCAAAAAAGTGTCCCAATGTTTGTGAGTCTTCATGTAATTGCTTCATTGTGAGTTAGGGAATAGGAATATGACTCAGCTATAGGGAGGCATCAGAAAGCTCTGCTTCTTTGCGCTGTCTTTGTTCCCTATAGCGTGGGAATCTGACATTAGTGTGTGAAAATATAGACATTTTAATCTGGTGACTCATTGGGACACTTTTTTGACTTTTAATTTGATCAATACAATCTCTATAATTCTTGTTACAGTGCCCCACTCTTTTTCCCATCATCACTGTGGACTCCTATATGGCTGTACTTCTAACACTTCCTTTTCACTGTGCTGTTTCCTCATGGTCTTCCTTATCTCCTGATTCATACCTTGTTTTTCCCATGAACCTTCCTTTCCTAGTAGTTGTTACCCTTTGCCTAGCATGGTCTGTACACAATTCCTTTACGTATATAAACTCTAGTTACCACTTGTATTTTCTTTAACTTGAATCTACTCAGTTCTCTTTGATACTTGAACTCTAGCTCCTTGGGAAGGAGGCTAGCCATTGTCCTGTTTGAACTCTAGATCCTGCAGGAGTCTAGACAATTTCTCCTGAGAGGCATTGACTTGATAAGGCTTAGTCCTTGATCAACCTTGATCCTTGATTCCTTTATTGGAACGACACTCTATCTGAGTTTGTAACAATTCTAGTACTTGGTGTGTTCTCCTGTTGCTCTAATAACCTCTACCACTCTTATAAATATACTATCTATCAATTCCTAGCATTGCCCATTAATAATCTTCTCCCACTATGCTGTAACTCCCTCCCATAGCTGAAATAGCTCCTATTCTTATTCTCAGCTCCTCTCATCTGTCTACCAGGCAGATTTCTACTACAGC